TCAGCTCAAGGCTAGCACTCTACCACTTGAGCCACAGCGCCACTTCTGGCTTTTTTCTTATGTGGTGCTGAGGAATCCAACCCAGGGCCTTGAGCATGCAAGGCAAGTGCTCTACCACTGAGCCACCTTCCCAGCCCTAGTGTGAGTTGTTTACCTATGGTCCTGTGGTTGTGGGGCTCTCCAGGAACTGTCCAGCCTCAAGTGAAAGGATCTAGAGACAGAATTCAAAATATAATTTCTATTGAATATGTTCTTGGTTTGTGTTACTCTGAATGGACTGGAATGCTGTTTCTGTAAAACTATTGTTGCCAAGGAGCTTGGCTACTTTTTATGATATTGAACTATATTAAGAGGATTGATGTTTTCTGAGTTTTGTGAGATTAGGGAAAGCTATTTAAAATTATTTCAGGGAGGGGCTTTAAGTGATATGTGAAGTCAGTAATAATATAGTGGACAATATACTGTGTCCTTTAGCTTTTTTTTTTAACTGTAAGAGGAGAGGCATCGAAATTTGGATCTTAGAGAAGACATAGCATGAAGAACCTTGGGTTTTTCTCTGCTTTGATTTTGTGAACTGATAGTGCCTGTTAAAGCTCTTGCTTCATCTACAAAGGGAAAATGAAAGTTTTATGATTTTTTTTCTTTTTTGGTCTGGAGTTATAAAATATTTGGGAAGGGCTGGGAAGGTGGCTCAGTGGTAGAGCGCTTGCCTTGCATGCTCAAGGCCCTGGGTTCGATTCCTCAGCACTACATAAGCAAAAAAGAAAAAACCGGAAGTGGTACTGTGGCTAGCCTTGAGCTGAAGAGCTGAGGGACAGCACCCAGGCCCAGAGTTCAGGCCCCACGACCGGACCAAAAAAATAAATAAATAAAAATAAAATATTTGGGAACCTGAGACAAGCTCCTTAACCCTAACAAGAACCTCTAGTCACATGTATAAAGAAGACAATTGCAAAGATAAGGAAATGCTTCTGGTTGTTTTTCTTGGCCAGCTGAATGTGTGCCCACTGAATATGGATCCATGAGGACAGTGGTAGGGAGGGCTCTCTGGTGTCTGTTCTTTATAAGTGCAGACTGGAAGGTCTCACATACATCTTTAGCCTGGAATCTATCTAGGACCCAAGCTTCTTGTCCTTGATGTTTCTTAAGAGTAACGTACAGGTCTTGATGACATTCACATCTTCATTCAATGTGTACACACACAAACACACACACACACACACACACACACACTTCCAAATGTAGTTAGGCGGTAAAGGAAAATAACTAACAATTTAGATCTTTTTTTTTTTGTTGTTGTTGTTGGTCGTGGGGCTTGAACTCTGGACCTAGGCACTATCCCTGAGCTTTTCAGCTCAAGGCGAGCACTACCACTTGAGCCATAGCGCCACTTCTGGTTTTCTGAATGGTTTATTGGAGATAAGAGTCTCACAGAATTTCCTGCCCAGGCTGGCTTTGAACCGTGATCCTCAGATCTCAGTCTCCTGAGTAGCTAGGATTATAGGCGTGAGCCACTGATGCCTGGCAACAATTGAGGTCTTTAAATACTTTCTTTGCATGTCTAGGTCACCTCCAATTCTTTTATCTTTAGACCTAGATTATTCTAAATTACAATTTTTAACCCATTATTTAGAATAAGCCCAACATTTTTCTTTGCTCTCTGGGCCTATAGGGCTGTGAACTTGGTGTGCCATGACCATGAGGTAGCTGGCTCATCTGTCACTAGCATAACTGCTTGACAGTGTATACCAAGTTCTGTGCCTGAACTCAAAGACAGAGAGTAAGCAATGATTTGTTTTGGGGGTAGGTTATAGTACTGGGGATTGAGCTCATCTCAAGCTTGCTCTTTTGCTTTCGAATAGGGTCTCACA